AAAAGGACCAGATCGCACAGAAGGACCAGGAGACACAGTGTTCCCCCCAACAAAGCAGAGCAAAACGGCAAATGGAGAGCTTGGCCAGCAACGTGCCGAAGAGGAAGAAGAGACCGCTAGGCACTCGGGAACCCCTGCCGCCCACAGATCAGCCTCACGCAACATCGCGCAGGCCTGAGACCGGGGCCTCCTCAGCGAATGAGTGGATAACGGTCAAGGGCAGGCCGCAGGCCCGACAACCAAGGCATCGTCCGGATGCTATTATCATAGAACCATCGGAGAAGATGACGTACGCGGATATCTTGAACCTGGTCACTCGCAGCCAGAGCGACAAGCTAAAGAGCGTAGGCGAAAGCGTGCGAAGGGTGAAGCGCACAGCCAAAGGCGCTCTCCTGTTGGAGCTGAACGGCACCACTCGGGAGACTACGCAGCAGATTCGTGACAACATTGGCACGGTCTTAGGAGGAAAGGCGGAGGCACGAGCACGAGATTCCGGGAGCGCAATCTTCCACTGAAGTGCTTCAAGTGTTTAGAGCTTGGGCATATTGCAGCGAATTGTGGCAGCGCTGTAGACAGAAGGCAAGGGTAAACCGCAAAACCACATTGCTGGAAGTCTGAGGTGTCCAATGGCATCAAAGGAGCCCGTGAGAGTCAAAAATCATGTTTAGATGCTATCAGATAAATCTGAACCATTGTGAGGCGGCAAGCGACTTGCTCACACAGTCGGTGCGCGACCTGAAGTCGGACGTCGCTATTATTAGTGAGCCATACACCTCTCCAGGAGATTGGTGCTGGGTCCACAGCTCGTCGAGGAAAGCAGCGATTTGGTCCTGTGGCGTACCATGCATACGGCCAACAGCATGCGCAGAGTTCAGACACTTTGTTCGGGCTAAACTGGCGAGGATCTGGGTCTACAGCTGCTACCTTCCACCTAGCCTGAGTCGCCAAAGCTTCGCAGCAGCAATAGACGACCTAGTTGAAGATGCCAGAGACCACAAGCCTGCTATAATAGCAGGGGATTTCAACGCGTGGGCTCAGGAATGGGGTAGCGAAATCTCAAAAACCAGCAGCTCGGATGCCATAGCAAAGGGACAGGCCCTTCTGGAGGCCTTCGCGACGCTGGACGTTGTTTTGCTGAACCAGGGCTCAGCAAACACGTTCAACCGGGGAGGTGCAGGATCGGTCATCGATCTCACCTTCGTCACGAGCTCCCTCTCCCCGCAGGCCAAATGGAGTTTGGGAAAACACTACACTGCCAGCGACCATGAGGCACTGGTGTTCTCGATCGGCGGTGGATCTGGAAGAACCCTGAACCAACCGACACGGAGACTAGCCTTCAAAACAGAGACTCTCCGGGTTCCTGTCTTTCTGGAGGCGATTAGCGGCGTGGAAGTAGAAGGAACAGCGCAGCAGATGGCCACCCAGCTCTCAGACCAGGTTCTGCTCGCCTGCGACGCTAGCATGAGCCGCAGGAAGTCTTTCAGGGGCGCGCAGAAGTCGACCTACTGGTGGAGCGGCGAGATCGCAGAGGCCAGGTGCACCTGCCTGTCCGCCAGAAGGCGTTACCAGAGAGCACGCAAACGGAGTGACAGCGACTGGCCGGGATTACACGTAGCGTATGGAAAGGCCAGGAAAACGCTGAAGACAGCCATCAAGAGGAGCAAGCGGGAGTGCTTCCTGCAGCTGTGCGACGCAGCAGAGCATGACCCATGGGGAAGAGCATATAAAATGGTGACGAAGCGATTACACGCCAGTAACGCAGAAGCGCCGTCGGACCCAGATCAACTCCGGGTTATCGTTGAAGCGCTGTTTCCTACTCACATCAGCAACCACACGCAAGGAGTCGACGCGCTCCAGCCGCCACACGAGGTGGAGCCAGTGACGACCGAGGAGCTACTGTCGGCAGCGAGGAAGATGAAGCCAAATAAGGCTCCTGGCCCGGATGGAATCCCCAACAGGGCAGTAAAACTGGCGATCTCGTTTAAGCCGCACGAGTTTGCGCGTGCGTTCACTCAATGCCTACGCGAAGGAGTTTTCCCAAGGCAGTGGAAGACCCAGCACCTAGTGCTCATCCCAAAACCCGGAAAGCCGCCAGACGACCCTTCCTCATATCGACCGATATGTCTGATCGACGGATTGGGGAAGACGTTGGAGCAGATTATCTGCTCAAGGCTGGAGAGCGCGCTTGAAGAGTCGGGAGGCATTTCAGAGAACCAGTTCGGCTTCCGGAAAGGGGTATCGACGGTGGACGCCATAGGCAGGGTGGTCCGCATCGCATCCGAGGCTGTAGAAGGAACACGCTGGAAGGGTGGCAAGAAGGAGTACTGCCTGATTGTCACCCTGGACATCAGGAATGCCTTCAACTCGGTGAAGTGGGGGTGCATAACGGACGCGCTGAGCCAGAAGGGCATCCCTCCATACCTCCAGGCGATGGCTAGAAGCTATTTTGAGGACAGGATCCTCAAGTACGACACGGCGAGTGGGGCTCAATCACACCCCATCTCGGCAGGAGTTCCCCAAGGCTCAGTGATGGGCCCTCTACTGTGGAACGTGGCATATGATGGAGTTATGCGGATTCCACTTCCAGCCGGCTGCCATATGACCTGACGACGTGGCACTCTCAGTGGTGGCCAAACACCTGCATGAGGCGGAAGAAGTCTGCAACACGGCCATACGGCTGATAGCAGATTGGCTTCTGACAGCGGGGCTGGAGTTAGCGGCGCACAAAACGGAGGCAGTCCTGGTCAGCAGCCGTTCGATCGTGGAGACAGCGCACGTCAGGATTGGAGACCAGACGATAGCGTCAAAGCGAGCCATCCGCTACCTCGGGGTGATGCTCGACACCAGGCTCTGCTTCCGGGAGCACTTAGGCTATGTTCAGGAGAAAGCGGCAAACACGTGCCGAGCCCTCTCCAGAATATTGCCTAACACACGTGGACCTAAGCAGGAGAGGAGGCTGCTGCTGACCAGCGTTGTCAGGTCAGCCATCACCTACGCTGCTGCAGTGTGGGCGGACGGCATAAGGGTCGCCAGCTACGCCAGGGGCGTCAAGTCCACCCATCGTCTCTGCGCACTCCGGATCTGCTGTGGGTTTAGGACCATGTCGGACGACGCTGCGCTGGTCATCGCAGGAGTTCTTCCCATAGATCTCCTGGTCGTCGAGGAGAAGAACGTGGCATTGGCCACCCGAGCAGGCACCGAGCGGAAAGTGGCGAAGGAGCAGGCTAGAGAGGAGAGTCTCAGGATCTGGCAGTGTCGCTGGGACAGCTCAGAAAACGGCAGGTGGACCCACCGTCTCATACCTGACGTGAGAAGTTGGGTTAGTAGGAGCGAAGGCGCGGTGACTTTCTACACCACGCAGCTACTGAGCGGACACGGATGCTTTGCCCACTACCTGTGTAGATTCGGGCACGAGGAGTCGCCAAATTGCAGATGGTGCGGCAGCGTGATAGAGGACGCGGAGCACGTCCTATTTGTCTGCGGGCGCTTCGAGCAGAGTAGGAGGGTGCTTTGGCAATCCGCTGGAAGGCAGCTAACACCAAGCAGCCTGGTGGAGGCGATGCTAGGAGACGCCGCGGTATGGCCGGCAGTAAATACCTTTGCTGCCGTCGCGATGAAGGAGCTCCGGCGATGCGAGAGGCTTAGAAGAGAGAGAGTCTAAGAGGAACCACTGTCCCTGCGAAGCAATGCTTCGCGGCCGTCCTGCAGGGACTAGGTATCTTTAAACGGCTCTACAAGATCTTGGCCATCAACTAATGTTATTATGGACTAGTATTTTTATAAGCACTAGTTTTATTATATATATTTACATACCTATGAGAAATAATTAAAATAATCGAGATAATGGAAAAAAAAAAAACACATACATACATACATCCAAGTGCTAACAGAATAAAAACACACCCCAACAATTATTAAGTGTTTTTATTCCGACATCTATATACACATACTTATTACCATAGTTGGCTGCAATAGATCGATCTATATCTATATCGATGGATCCATATTACCAACTATATACATATGTACATAAAAATAGCATAACGCACATACAAAAATATCACACTCCGTATTTAAATACCGCGTCCCACACATACATTCCGCTCATAACCACATATGTACATTTAACAATAAAAATCTGCGATTCCGAGCAGTTTACGCGTTCCAACAATAACTTTGGTCGCCACAATACGTGATATTATCTCCAATTCCGTAACAAATTATCCTCCACCCAGGTACAGCGCATTTCCGATTTCGCATTTTTTTCGTGCCAATTGTCGAATTGTATGTCCGAGGGAAATTAGAGGTGACAAAATTTAAGAAAAACTATCGGTATCACGAGCACCAAATTTAAGACAAGAAATAAATTGAAGCTGCCGAATTATCTAAAAATACATAGTCCTACGTTTGTTCCGCCTCCACTAACAGAATTATTTTTTTTATTGCATATTCGTTCCGATAGTCTCCGCCACACCAGTAGCAGTTAATTTCTTGGCTCCGATCCTCGTGCTCTTGTATCCTATCGGCCCTACCACCTCCACGGCATAACAAGGGGATCAAGAAATCGACCAATTCCGTCCACAATCCATCCGCACTAGATAAGGAAGATTAGTAGCCCACTGCAAAGGTCCGTCAAAAGGGTAAACGGAGGAAAGCCGCACTAACAATATTTTTTTTTTCAAATATTGCCACAGCCAGTGTGACCGTTCCTCTCATCGGCGTGTATTAATTTGATCCACTCATTGTTTGGGAACCTCGATCCAGAGCGGCCACAAATAATTAGAGTTGGTATTAAAAATTTTTGTCCAACATTGCGCGAGGCCCTTTCCTTTCCATTCCTCCAGCAGTGGGTTCTTTTTGTGTGTTGAAGGGATTTAGTGCCTTCTCGTGTGGTGCCCAGCCCAGCCTTAGTTTTTTTCTGTTCTTTCGCCAATCCGCGGATTCCGCATCCGACTTCGCATACAACCTCTGCGTGTGTGAGTAGTATGCCAACGGGTAACATGGACAGCAAAGGGCTTTTGGCTGCGACCTCTCCACGTCGGCTACGCACCGCTTCCGCCTCAGGAACTACCCCCACTCAAAAGATCAAGTCGCCAGTCACTCCCAGAGCAGCCAGTAGCAGCCCAGCTGCAAGGACCAAGTCGGTTCTCTTCCCGTCTCCCGTCACTCTCAAGGTGCCAGCTCGGATCCAAGACGATCCAACCAGCTCTTTCGGTAATAGTCCCGTCAGCTCGAGACCTTCCATCACAATGGCTCAACCCGCCACCACTACTGCACGAGCAAAATTAGCCGCCGCCATTGGCCGGCTGTCTCATTTGGAAGCGCGCATCACTTCCGCTCCATCCGCATCTCTTTCCGAGGTTCGCCGAGGACAAATTCTGAGTATGTGGGCGGATGTCGAGGCGGAATATAAAGCTTGCTCCGCAGTGATGGTTGACGAGGACCCAAGGGTCCAAGAAGACATCCGAGAGAAGTACGGCGAGTGCTATGGGGTATTTGAGCAGTGCCTCGCTGACCTCAATGCTCAGCTGGCCCAAACAGCAGTCCATCCGTCTGCACCGCAAACCTACCAGGGCGGCTGCCGACTGCCCTCCTGCGACATCGAGGTCTTCGCAGGAGATTACGTCCGTTGGCCTACTTTTCGATATTTATTTACTGCAATTTACATAAATAATTCTAGGCTGTCTCCGGTAGAGAAGTTGTACCATCTCACCGCGAAAACAAGTGGCGATCCGAAGGCCATAGTCGAGAAGTCCCCGCTCACAAACGATGTTTTCGAGTCGGCATGGTCGGCCCTCCGAAACCGTTATGAAAATAATCGGCTCCTGGTGACCAACCAGATAAATATTTTGCTCTTTTTGCCTCGCGTCGAGTCCGAGACCAGTCGAGCTTTGAAAGAGCTTCAAAGCACGATGCAAGGGGTCCTCACCGCCCTTGCTCACTCCAAGGTCTGCACCGACAACTGGGATAGCCTCCTCGTTACTATTTGTGCTTCCAAGTTGCCGAAGTTGACCCGGCCTTTGTGGGAAGCCCGTGTCACAGACAAGAAGGAGGTGCCTCCATGCACGGAAATCGACGCCTTCCTCACTCAGCGCTATTTGACGCTAGAGGCCATGGAGAGCGACCACTTCCAAAGGCAATCCGACCCCACCATCGTCCAATCCGCAGCCTTCCGGAAGCAACTCCAATCCGTTCCGGTCTCATGGTAGTCCCGTGCCAAGGAAGTTTCACTCCTTACAGACACAAGTGAGTCCGAAGAGAAGAACGTGTGATCTCTGTTCCAAAGAGAACCATTCGATCCGACTGTGTCCGCACTTCTTACAAATGACCGTGGATGCACGAGCCAGCTGCATTTAAAAAAGGCAGCTGTGCTTGAACTGTTTCGCTAGAGGTCATCAGCTCCGGGAATGCCAAAGCGCCCACAGTTGCTTCACTTGTGGAGCCCGCCACCACACGCTCCTGCATCGGGGGACTCCAGCTCCCAGCGAGCTGACTTCCACAACAGCGGAGGATCCCGCTTCTTCCGTCGCTCCGCCCAACGTTCAGAACTATTTTGCTTCGGGAACAAGAGCGGTGCTTCTCGGTACGGCAATAATCAACATCTGCCACCGGGGGACAAATTTCCGTGCCCGCGCTCTGATCGACTCGGGCTCCGAGGCGACGTTCCTTACGGAACGTCTCTTTAACATCACCCAGTTGCCATTCCGCCTTATTCAGGCCCAGGTTTCAGGCCTAAATCAGACTGTTGCAGCTCAATCCAAAAAGCTCTGTGATTTGTCCATTCGCTCCCTGATTACGCCGAGCGTACAGTTAAACGCCACGGCCCACGTGCTGCCAGACATAGCCGGCAATCTCCCTTCATATCCGATCCCGCAGAGCGCGTTGCGAGACTTGCCGAACCTGCCTTTAGCAGACCCTAAATTTTATGAGAGCTCACAGATAGACGTTCTGATCGGAGCCGACATCCTTCCGTCCATACTGTTAAGCGGCTCACAGACCGACATCTGTGGTTCCCTCCTCGGACAGCAAACCATCTTTGGGTGGGTGCTTACCGGTCCAGTGCCAAGTGCTGTTCCAGACCAGATTGCATCTTTCTCCACCCAAATTTCCCACGTCCGCGATGCTCCATTGGACAAACTTCTTACAAAGTTTTGGGAGGTGGAGGATCTACCTATCAAGGTAGCAGGAGAGTCGGACTCCTATTGCGAAAGAAATTTTCTTCGAACCACGTCAAGAACGTCAAGCGGAAAGTACGTGGTAACACTGCCGTTTCGTGACCCCGATCATTGTGGGTCTGGCCTGGGGCATTCAAGGTCTATTGCCCTAGCTCAGTTTCTCCGAAATGAGAATCGGCTAAAGAGAAACGTTTCATTTCGAGAACAGTATAACTATGTGATCCAGGAATATTTAGATCTCGATCATATGACAGAGGTTCCGTCCACTAACGAGTCCGCCAATTATTATCTCCCGCACCATGCGGTAATCAAGCCGGAGAGCACTACCACGAAAGTCCGCGTGGTATTCAACGCGTCCAGTCCTTCTGCGAACGGCACGAGCTTGAATGATCTTCTTCATGCGGGTCCGGTCCTCCAATCCGATTTAACCCTCCAAATCCTGAAGTGGCGCTATTTCCGATACGTCTTCAACGCCGACATTACAAAGATGTATCGCCAAATTTGGGTACATCCATCGTGCACGCCCTTCCAGCGAATATTATTTCGAAACCAGGAGGGTGAGATTCGGGACTATGAGCTGAAAACCGTGACCTTTGGTGTCAATTGCGCTCCGTTTCTAGCCATCCGGGTACTGCAACAGCTTGCCGACGATATCCAGTCGCGATTTCCAAAGGCAAGCCACATTGTACGGCATTTCATGTACGTCGACGACTTCCTAGCCGGGGCAGACTCCATCAAGGAGGCTTCTGGAAATCGATGCCGAGAGCACGGCAAAGACCCTCGGAGTTCGCTGGAAGGCGGCGTCAGACGAGTTCTTCTTTGTTCCTCCCGTGTTCACGCTTGAGTTATCCTACACCAAGCGAGAAGTTCTTTCCCAAATTGCGAAGCTGTTTGACCCCGCGAGTGGCTAGCCCCATTCATCGTCCGGTCCAAGATTTTTATGCAGGAGATCTGGTTGCAAGTTTTGGGATGGGACGAACCTCTTCCAAGTTCGTTGTACCAACGCTGGCTAGACTTTCTGCAAAGGTACTACATCACTACCCGAGATCAAGATTCCAAGATGGGTATGTTACCAGCCATCGGTAAAGATCGAACATCACGGTTTCTGCGATGCCTCCGAAAAGGCGTACGGTGCAGCGCTCTACGTGCGCGTCGAGTGTGACCAGCATATCACGGTGCATCTACTGTCGGCGAAAACACGAGTCGCTCCCGTGAAAACCGTTTCGCTTCCTCGACTAGAGCTGTGCGGTGCAGTGCTCCTTTCCGAAATGGCGACGGCTATCCTGCCAAGCATGCCGACGGTAAGTCATCAATGCTACTACTGGACCGATTCTACTATTGTACTGGCCTGGTTGAGCAAGCCCGCTTGCCATTGGACTACCTTTGTGGCCAATCGAGTGACGAAAATAGCTCAGACTACCGAAACCAGTCATTGGGCTCATGTTCGTTCCGAACATAACCCCGCTGACTTAGCCAGTCGAGGCGTAGCTTTACCAGAACTGGTGGGTAGCCAACTCTGGTGGCATGGACCAGCGTGGTTGCGATCTCCACGTGATCAATGGCCAGCCCAAGCCGCCGAAACTCCAGTTCAAACCCTAGAGCAGCGGGCCGTGAAGGTCCATCTCGTTTCCAGCCCACCCGAAGATTTCCTGGAGCGATTCTCCCAGCTTGAGAAGGCTCTTCGAGTGCGTGCATATGTTCTACGTTTTATTCAGTGTTGCCGGAAAGCAACACTCGCATGTAGGGACCACCTCACTAGTGGGGAAATTAACGAAGCGGAGCGAACTCTTATCCTAGAGGCTCAGCGCCGGGACTTCCCCCAAGAATCTCACTGCCTGAGTGGTAAACGTCCCGTGCCAAGTTCAAGCTCTATTTTGAATCTAAACCCCTTTCTAGACCGACAGGGGATCATGAGAGCATGTGGCCGGATCACAGCTTCACAAGATCTGAAGTATGATGAGCGCCATCCACTCATCCTGTCCTGTAGTTGCCGCCTGTCTCGCCTGCTCGCTCACTTCACGCACAGGATGACTCTCCATGGTGGCAGTCAACTGATGACGCGCCTCATTCACTGCAAATATTGGATCCCGAGAATCCGGAACCTGATGAAGGGCGTGGTGAATCCACAAGAAGAAACTACAGACCCAACTGATGGGTGATCTCCCGACAGACCGAACTTCTTTCTCCAGACCGTTTACCCATACCGGTATTGACTATGCAGGTCCTTTCGACATAAGGAACTATACCGGGAGAGCGTGCCTGATCACCAAGGGTTATGTGTGCGTATTTGTATGTTTTTCCACGAAGGCCATTCACTTGGAGGCCACCTCCAACCTGACCACCGAGAAGTTTCTAGCAGCTTTCGCTCGGTGGCAATCGGTGGCAGCATTTGAAGGCCCTCAACCAGCAGTTCTGCCAGAATTGCAAGGATGAGTACCTCAAGGAACTCCACAAGCGCAACAAGTGGCAGACGGATATGCCAAATCTTCAGATCGGCGATATGATTATCGTGAAAGAAGATAACCTGCCTTCTAACGACTGGCGACTCGGAAGAGTACAGTCCGTGTATCCCGGCGCCGATAACAGGGTTCGGGTGGTAGACATTATTACTGCCCGCAGTGTGCTCAAACGCCCGGTCGCAAAAGTCGTTCTCCTTCCAGGGGAACTCCCTCGTCCCGTACAACAATACAACAAGGCGTCCCGTACAACAAGGCGTCCTGTGCCTAGCCCGTTTAATAATGCCTCTCCTTGTCTACTATTCCATCCAAGTTCTTTTCGCCTCCAAAACGCCCTCGTTTGTTCGTCCAACAGTACTTAGAGAAGTGCCTGTCACCTGTTCCTAGCACGTTACTAATGCTTCTCCGATTCTTCTTTTCCAAACCAGTTCATTTTGCATCCAGATCCTGATGGCTCCAAAACCCCGTGTCAAGCACACCTCAGGGAGCAGACGCTCCCGAATACAAGCTTCCTACCGCTGCCGAGTCTGCTCCGGAAGCCATCCACTACGGGACTGCCGTAGCTTTCTCAAGCTGAGCGTGGCGAAGAGGCTCCGAGCCGTGCTGGTGAACAAATACTGCCGGAACTGCCTGGCTCATCAGCACTCTGGCAAGGATTGCCGAAGTGGTGGCCGGTGCAAGGTGTGCCACAAGGACCATCACACGCTGCTCCACATGCGACCGTCCCAGCGTCCAGCCCGCTCGGAATCGCCAGCTCCGTCTCCAGCTCCGGTGTCCCGAGCCGATCGCCGCCCCCGTTCTCCGGAAAGACGCCCCAAGACGGGGAATCCGGGCTGTGGGAACCACCAACATCCACCCTCCTACAAAACAGGAACGAACGAAATAAGAGAAGGAACGTTGTGAGTCGCTTCTGTGGACGCGACTCTACTTTTATACCTGTACTATGTAAGCTTATAATTTATGTAAAATGTTTTTAAATATTTTACATTTTACATTTACATATTTTTTGCTACATCTGTCCTCTGGTAGATATGGTCATTTTCTACGATACTGAGATTTTTGTTTTCTCGTATCTTCGAAATAGGGGATGCCACAGATTTTCGTACTTTGTGAAGGCGTAAGGGAGCGTGTGATATCACATGAGTCAGGAAACAAAATTTGGTTGCTCTAGCTTTAATAGTCTCAGAGAACTAGGCGTCAAGCAAAACGGACAGACAGACATGGCTATATTGATTCGGCGGTTGATCCTGATCGGAAACGTTTTCTTCTCTGCGTTGCACACATCCACTTTTACCACAAATCGAATAAACCCCTTAACTCTTCAAGTAAGATTATAAAAATGTAGCTCTATTATTTTAGAAGTATGACTTTTATTCCGCTAGATTCGCTGTTTTTTCCAGTGTGTGGAATGCGGTACGTAGCTGGGACCCGATCTGCCATTGGAAGTCGCCCGTTTTAGCCCGGATGAGCGCAGTGTACACCTACCCATCCCCAATACACGTTGTTGACAATTTGAGGGCCTTGGCCAGCTTGTCCATGAAGCCGACTGGTGTGCATGGGTCGATGAGCGCGCTGTCTCGAACCCGAATCTAGGACTTCCAGCGCCGTCGCACAGTGGAACCTTCGGCCATTTCAGCTTGCTAAATTAATAACTTCCGAACGAATCAAGATATCTTCATGAAATAAATTTTTTTTGAAAGAAACAACTTTCAAAAATAAGTCTGCAAGTAGCACTCTTGTCTAGAAACTTGTCAATAAATAGTCAAAGTTGAACTTTGTTGCCAGTGCATAATTTCCTATATAAAATGATCAATAGATATATTTTTTGCCGATAAGAAATTTTTTAATTTTCAATTTTACAATATAATAATTTAATTGGATTTTAATATAATAAAAATAAAATTACTTTTTTTTATTTCATATTTTGGTTCATCATTTTTGTTCTCATTACAGCGGCAGCGCTGTTCTGGCTGTTTTTTGTGTGAGGTTGCGACACAAATCGGTCTATACGCAAAGAAAATTCAAAGAAAATAATAAAAATAAAACGCGATATCAAATTTGAAAAATGAAAAGATATTTTGAAAAATAAAATTTGAAGATACGATAAAACTAAAAACGCAATATCGTAGAGAATGACCATATCTGTCAGATTTCCGTTCTCAGTTGCTTCCCCCAACTCCTCCAGCGATGCTGCCGCTACTCATTCTTTTTTCGCTCGCACACTCTGCACTGTGCAAATCTCGACCTTTGCGGAGATGTAGAATCTACATTGTTTATGTATAATCTACTTTTGAGATGTGTAATCGACATTGTAGATGTAGACGAAGATAACAAATTTAGCAAAAAAAATGTAAAACATAAAATATTTTAAAACTGCATAAATCATAAGTTCACTAATTTATATACAGACTGAGCACGTGTATAAGAGTAGAGTGGCGTCCACAGAAGCGGCTCACACGTTCCTTCTCGTTTTTATTAAAAAAATTTTCCAATGAATACCCCTAAAAATAGATACTAAAACAATAACCATACATGCCATAGTTTACTTTTAATTTGACCTGAAAGAATAAGTATGTGCATACAAATTGAGCAAATGCTGCTAATTGAAAAAGTGGTCAACCTTAAATGCTCATATCTCCGAAACTAAAAGCCCGATTTCCTTCAAGTATCCATTTTTGAAATCCATGGAAAATTCTCTATTCGTGTATTCAAATAACACTACTCAACACGATTTTTCCTCAAGGAACAAAACCAACTTTTTATTAAAGATTTGGGGCTTAGAAATGGTTTGATGATATTTTTTTTTTTTTCTATGGCAGAACTTTTTTTTGCAGAATTTTTTAAATCTGGTATTTTTTTTTTTAGCTTTTTTCAGAGGTAGCGATAGTTTTTTTCACATAACTTTAGTATCTTACGTCTGGTTGTAACTTTGCTATTTTGAAAAGATAATTAAAACAGCTAGAAGTTAAGCCCAAACACTTTGTGATTACAGCTTACCGTCTGGGAAATATAAAGCATTGAAATGCAAAAATGATGATTTTTGTGCGGTATTTTTTACGAAATTTTGACTTTGAAAACTCAGGATAAGTCGAAAAAAATTATATCTTGTGTCCTTGTGCGTTAATTTGGCGTCGTTTAAGGTATCGCTCATTAAAATCTATGGAGAGACTTTGGAGCTAAAATTCGTTAACCAAACCTAAAATATGGAAAAAATGCACAAAAAATACCTTTTTGAAGGCGGCGGGCCCAACTGCCAATTGGGAACAAAGCAAACGAAAAAGGGTTGTACATTTGGTACCTGTTCGCGTTCCTTTGGTATGAAAAGTTGTTGACAGTTACTTTTTTCGTTATCAGAGGTAGGATACCTATTCAGGTCAAATATTTCCTTTATATTCTCACAAGTGCAGGTCCACAAAAATTGGATCTCGTCGCGTCTACCTATTCATAGTCATGGATATATAACTCTGTGCCTATAATGTCTGTGCCTTAGTGTAGTTTTGACTTCCCTCAGAATACGATCGTGTGTTTACCAAAACATCTTGCAATTAATTAAAATCAATTGTCATGGATACCTCTGGCCGATCATTTGCATGTGCTTTCCAAGCAGACTCATTTTGCTACATATGTGGTAAGTACATGATGATCAACGAAATAAAAATCGCTTTTACCGAAACTCTCCAAAAACAGTATGAAGAAAACTTTAAAATCAAACCCGAAAGTTTTGTTGAAGAGTGGGCACCAAGCTGTATATGTCAAATGTGTAGATTGAATTTAACAGCATATGATTACGACGAAAAGTAAGTAACTCTAATCCACAAAACTATTAACTTTTCCCAAAATTCTAAACATTATTTTTTTCTTACAATTTTTTTTAGAAAACAATTTAACTTTGGTAGTCCAATGATGTGGAAAAAAACAGATATTCACGGCGCCGAATGTTTCTTTTGTTCAGTAAAGAAAACTGGAATTGGGAAACACTTGAAAATAGTTTACCCGAAACAATCTGGCTTCGGCTTTACCCTTCCTGCTCCTTCCGAGGAAATACCCGCCCTAAAACGCCAAAAAGGAGAGGTATCTTCCTCGTCGAATGGAACAACGGATTCAAGCAATAACTATTCAGGAGAATGGAAATTTTGCAATCCTATTTCACAGGAACAATTGAACGATTTGGTGAGGATCCTGGATCTTCCTAAAAATAAATCCGAGCTGCTTGGATCTTTTTTAAAGGATGCACGTTTATTGAAGGAAGGTGTCAAAATAACTCATTTCCGGACGCGTCATTTGGTTCACGCACAATTTTATATGACGAAGGATGACATGTGCGTTTGCCACGACATTTTCGGACTCTTCAAGCAACTTGGTGAAGCGTACGACCCAAAAGATTGGAGGTTATTTGTTGACAGCAGTAAGGAAAGTTTAAAGGCTGTTTTGCTACATAATGGAAACCAAAAGCCGTCTGTTCTTATCGCCCATGCTGTTAATATGAAGGAAACATATCAAACAATGGCTAAGTTGTTTGTTAACATAAAATATAAAGAACACCAGTGAAGGTCGCGTGTGACTTGAAGGTTGTAGCCATGTTAACGGGATTGCAAGGTGGTTACACAAAACACTGCTGCTTCCTGTGCCTATGGGATAGTAGAGCTAGAGAACAGCATTATTCAACAAAACTCTGGCCAAAACGGGAGGAACATACTTTGGAAAATTACAATGTAAAGAATGCAGCTCTCGTGAAGTTTGAAGACGTTATTTTACCACCATTACACATTAAGCTGGGACTAATGAAAAATTTTTTTAAAGCACTGGATAAGGAAGGTGAATCGACGAGTTACCTAAAAACTGTTTTTCCACGTCTGTCGCTGGCAAAAGTGAAAGAAGGAGTATTTGATGGCCCCCAAATTCGAAAACTACTAAAAGATGATGGATTTGAAAATATTTTATCTACGAATGAAAAAGCAGCTTGGAACTCATTCCGAATGGTAGTAGCAAATTTTCTTGGCAACAGCAAGAGTGATGATTACGTTAATATCGTTCAAGACCTAATTGAGAATTATGAAAAAATTGGAGCCAACATGTCACTAAAAATCCATTTCCTACACTCCCACTTGGACTTTTTTCCGACAAACCTAGGGGACGTTAGTGATGAACACGGAGAGAGATTTCACCAACAATTAAAGGCTATGGAACAACGTTATCAAGGTGTTTGGAATGAAAACATGATGGGCGACTATGTGTGGACTCTCATAAGGGAATCTGATTGGAGTGACAAAGGAAGACAGCCAGAAAACTTAAATTATTTTATGAACAGTAACAAGCAGTAAAAAATAAAAAGTTTGTATATCCTTAGAATTGACTAAAAAGTCTAAAAATTACTGATTGTTGTATGGGTTAGGGAATGAAATTCTATATCTCAGGTATTTCTACTTTGGTTTCATTGAAATATGAATAGGTAGAAGCGACAAACGTCTAATTTGTGTAAAAATAAAGGTCAACATTTGACCTGAACAGGTACCCATACCTCAGATTGGGCACAACGAAAGAAAGATCCAATTTTTGTGGACCTGCACTTGTGAGAATATAAAGGAAATATTTGACCTGAATAGGTATCCTACCTCTGATAACGAAAAAAGTAACTGTCAACAACTTTTCATACCAAAGGAACGCGAACAGGTACCAAATGTACAACCCTTTTTCGTTTGCTTTGTTCCCAATTGGCAGTTGGGCCCGCCGCCTTCAAAAAGGTATTTTTTGTGCATTTTTTCCATATTTTAGGTTTGGTTAACGAATTTTAGCTCCAAAGTCTCTCCATAGATTTTAATGAGCGATACCTTAAACGACGCCAAATTAACGCACCTATACACTATCCTGAGTTTTCAAAGTCAAAATTTCGTAAAAAATACCGCACAAAAATCATCATTTTTGCATTTCAATGCTTTATATTTCCCAGACGGTAAGCTGTAATCACAAAGTGTTTGGGCTTAACTTCTAGCTGTTTTAATTATCTTTTCAAAATAGCAAAGTTCTTTACAACCAGACGTAAGATACTAAAGTTATGTGAAAAAAACTATCGCTACCTCTGAAAAAAGCTAAAAAAAAAAATAGCAGACTTCAAAAATTCTTCAAAAAAAAGTTCTGCCATAGAAAAAAAACCATAATTCTTTAAAAAATTTTAAATCCCCATATCTATCAGAAAAAGTCGGTTTGGATCCTTGAGGAAAAAAAAAGTTCGATTTTGTCGAGTAGTGTAATCCAAAGCGCTCACTCAGAGAAAAACTTTTGCCACCTCTTCTCGGTTTTCGATTCGATCTTCGATTTTGTAGGAGGAAGGACACGGGTTAGGCGAGCGGTCTGGGCGACAAGTCGAGGGCAGGTGAAGTAGTGTGTAGTGATTTCTATGGCACATCTTACACCGATCGCCGCTGCGACAGTCCATGCCGGAGTGTTTGTGAGCCATGCCGTTCGAACAGTATTTATTAAACAAGAAGGAAGGACTCGGCAACGGTAGGAATTATAACCTAGGAACCGTCTAATCGTTCTTTCGTTTTTAGCTTATAGCTAGGCAGAGCCCGGTTTTCACTTTCACAAAAAACGTGTGATTTACTTTTCAAAATGAAACGTTAGGCGCTTCCGCGTTTTATAGACTTTTGTTTTATACAACAAAACGAATCTTAATTCCAACGGGATTAAAATATATGAAAAATTCACTATTTGTTGTGGCCCTGACCAATTTTTTTTTTTTGAGGTTTGTAGTGTCCCATTTTACCCTTTCAGTTAAGTGAATCAAATAAACATCGAACAATTTAGGTGCATTTGGTAGGGAAATACTTTTCATACTGCCCTCGTAAGCATATCACGAAGAGATTGGTGGAATGCGGGAGACCAAGAAGTAGGGTTGGGAAAACATCGATAGTGGCCACCATCGATGTTTTCCACAATCGATGGTGGAAAAGCTCGATTGTATCGATAGTATCGGAAAATTTTAAACCTCATTAAACAAAGCCAAAATTTGTGAAAACAAATAACGTATTATTATTTCATACGGTCTTATGTATAAAGTAAAATAAAGAGATCCATTTCAAAAGGTTAAATAACTTAAAAATATTTTATATATCAATATTTTTGTTTAAAAACAGCAGTTTGTCCACATTGGATGTTTTTAGTAATGTCCTTTTTGCGGAAACTATATCCGCCGCTTTGCTGAACATTGGTTCAGACGCTGTGGAAGTTGCGGGAATAAACAGACAGTGCCTCGCTATTTGTTGAAGGCCAACGGTTTCATCTGTACAATTCTGCAATAATAAATTGTTTTGTTTTAAAATTACTAATTTTAATCTTTTTAATTGTTGAATTTAATTGTATTTACCTTCCAAAATTCAAGAGGGTCCTGATTTAGATGGCTCTGCTCCATGTAGGTTTTAAGAGCTTTGATAGAATCTACCCTTTTCGAACCAGCTTTGGCAGCGTGTTTGGCTTTTAGAAAACTGAAAAGTAGATCGTTAATGGACGTTTCACATTCTTCTGGAGCATCTGGTGAAATTGGCAGTTTTTCGGGAGATTGACTTTTCAAAGAAGCAAGCTCATTTTCAATTAAAATGACTGCATTTTGTGTTATATTATTAGACCGGAATCCATCCATCTTTTTTAAACCGTGGGTCTAAAATCGTTGCTATTTTGGTCACTGATCGGTTTTCATAGTGGGAATGTCTTGAATTTATTTTTTCCAATAGAAAACTGCATACTTATTTACCTTCTTTAGTTTTTAGTGCTTTTGTTGATTCGAGTAATTCTGTATTTAGCCCGCATATGATTGGAATTATCAGGTATATTGTTACCTCTTGTGCAAAACATTTTGTGGTGGCACTATCAAAATATCCCAGTAGCACTAGCAGATCTTTCAAAATAGAAAATTCATCCGCCGTAAGCATTTTTGGAGCCATTTCACCAACTTGACTCAGTGAAGCATTCTGCCGGTCGATACTATCGATGGTGAACCGAAACAATCGATAGTTGTGAATCGAAAGCTAGAGGTACGTTATACCACTGTGGAAAAATAGGGTTCTTACGAAAATTTTTTATCCAGGAAAAAGGGGTACTGGGAAATCGCAATACACCCAAGTCGGTACGACCACCAGACTACGATAGCACCGAAAACTGGACAACTGAGTGGTTGCTGTCCACTTTCCCGCTGCGGATAGAGTCGATACTGACTCGCCGACGTTGGGCTAGCCCAACTTCTCTAGCGAAATTTCAAGTTCATGTTCACTCTTATCAGTATCATATAAAAAGCTTTTCGTTGCTGCCCTAAGGCACAGCTGTTTATACCTTCATATTCTTGTCTCGTTTACTATTGTCTTTACTATTGGACACATTCGTAAAGTAACTGAAGATTGTGGAAACTAAGCAATATGAGTTTGGAATAATATAATTCTCTTTATATATATGTGAATGTAACCTGATCAACTTCTTAATTACACAGCGTATATACCTGAAGCCATCAAAGTCATCTTGGGCCCAACGATACATCGATGAGTAATTTACAACTACTGTGAGTACAAATAGTGGCTGAAACCACAATGTAGATATGCCAATGCAGGCGTAGATCTGGTACGATATATATATATATATATATATATATATATATACTGATTTGAAGTGTATGTTCCCCTCTAAGGATCAAGTAATTATTTTGAAGAAGAAATTAAGCTGTAATTTGTTTGTATGTAATCTATGTATGTATGTATGTATGTATCTATATATTCCATTATTATTATTCTTCTCTTACTCAATTAAAATTACAACTTATTCATGAATATTCATTATTCTCCGTCAGTCGAGTACTTATGCTTATCCCTCGCAAGATGCAGTAGAATATGTAGAATCTTTGAATTGGGACAACGCAAAAAGGTATATGCGTTAGTCATGGTCGGGAGGGTAAAGACTAGGGACGATTAGCACCACTGTTCCCTTATCAGACGAAAGAAGAAGTATATCTCTTCTACCAGCTTCCTAAATGCGTATCGGCGCAGATTTGTAATCAAGTTTTTTTATTGTTATTAACGTATAGATACCGTGTATGATTCTCGAAGCGCATTATATTGATTTGTGTCAGTAAAACTGTGTAGCTAGGGGAAAAAGAACCCCGACCAATCCGACGAGCTGGACCCGAGCACAGCAAGAATGCGCGCCTTCGAACCTAGCTTCCTATTAGCATGGAGTCAGAAATACCATCTATGGCAATGGCTAGGTCAGAGGCTATATAGTAGAGTTGGGTTGCTCATGAGTGAGTGAACAAAAATGAGCTGTTCACTTCACTGAGTGAACTGAACATGTTCACTCAATTTTTGTTCAGTTGTTCACTTGTTCAGTTGCTCACTCAGTTGTTCACTTGTTCAGTTGTTCACTCACTTGTTCAGTTGTTCACTCACTTGTTCAGTTGTTCCCTGTTGACTCACTTGTTCAGTTGTTCCCTGTTCACTCACTTGTTCAGTTGTTCCCTGTTCAAGATTACTCTGCGATACACAAGACAAAATTACTTTTAGCCATATGACATTAGACTTAGACAATTTTGCTGCGTAGAGAGGGATAGCACTAGAGACAAAATGCAACATTATTGTTCGTAGCAGTCTCTAGAAACGTCTAATGGCTTTTAGTAGAACAACTAAGGCACTACTTGACACACAATGATGTTTTCCAGCAGAACACAGACACCAAGCCAGCATAATTGTATCCGCAAAGTAAAATTTTCGATAAATTCTGCCGCAGCGCTTCTCCCAGCTCAACTGGACAGCCAGCTTGACGCATATAGGAATAGGAATCAAGCAATCCCTTTTGTCAAATTTTTAATGAAGTAATATTGGTAACTGAGTTAATTGCAAGCACTCCGTGTAATCATAGATTCCATAAATTTTGTATAGTTGAAACAATCACGGCTTCACCAGCATGTCCGATATGTGCGGCAGGCTGCCTTCTTTCGCAACTACGTTATGGTAACAATACGCTGGCGGCGGAACTGGGAGACGAAGTCGGAGGAACTGAGACAGGAATTGGAGAAACCCTAGCTACAAACGAGGGAACACATTCTTTGAAAAGAACGGGAGGTCATTTTAAAAAGAGAGGCAGAGGTAGGCCCATCAATCCACAAGGAGGCGTGACAACTAGATCAAGATCGCGACAAGTAGAGCATGGTCGGTCTGAACAGGAAGAACATATTTCGGAAAAATCAAGACGATATAGTGTAAGGTATATTCAGAATGCCTTAAGTGTACAACAAGAAAACATGTTAGATGATATGGTTGAAATTTGGAATAGGAACATCGAGGAGACAATTCAGAGACAGCTGGCGTCCCTCAATCTAAGCAATGCCAACCAATCTGTGGGGAACTGTGAGTCTGGCCATAGGCAATCTGGCTTACGCACTTCTTTGACAGAAAATAGCTCCAATAACAATAGTAGCCGAAGCAGGTCAAATGCACAGATAGCACCAGCAAAAGCGGCTAGCATAATTCAAAACTGGCGGATAAAGTTTGATGGTTCGAGAAATTTCATGAGAATGGAAGAATTTATCTATCGGATACGGTCGTTAACTGAACAAAACTTAAATAATGATTACCAGCTTCTTTGTGACCACCTATATCTCTTGTTTGCTAATAAGGCCAGCGATTGGTTTTGGAAATTCCACCGTAACAATACCAATTTTTCTTGGGAAACCTTTTGTGTTGAATTTCGAAAATGATTTGAAGAGGTTGAGACTGATCTTGACATATGGGAAAAGATAAGGAAGCGAAGACAAGGTGAAAAGGAATCTTTTGATGATTACACTAGTCAACACGATTTTTCCTCAAGGAACAAAACGAACTTTTTCTTAAAGATTTGGGGCTTAGAAATGGTTTGATGATATTTTTTGTTTTTTCTATGGCAGAACTTTTTTTTGAAGAATTTTTGAAAACTGGTATTTTTTTTAAAGCTTTTTTCAGAGCTAGCGCTTGTTTTTTTCACATAGCTCTAGTATCTTACGTCTGGTTGTAAAGAACTTTGCTATTTTAAAAAGATAATATTTTAGGTTTAGTTAACGAATTTTAGCTCCAAAGTTTCTCCATAGATTTTAAGGAGCGATACCTTAAACGACGCCAAATTAACGCACCTATACACAAAAAAATAGAGGACACAAGATATAATTTTTTTTCGACTTTTCCTGAGTTTTTAAAATCAAAATTTCGTAAAAAATACCGCTCAAAAATCATCATTTTTGCATTTCAATGCTTTATATTTCCCAGACGGTAAGCTGTAATCACAAAGTGTTTGGGCTTAACTTATAGCTGTTTTAATTATCTTTTCAAAATAGCAAAGTTCTTTACAACCAGACGTAAGATACTAGAGCTATGTGAAAAAAACAAGCGCTACCTCTGAAAAAAGCTAAAAAAAAAATACCAGTTTTCAAAAATTCTTCAAAAAAAGTACTGCCATAGAAAAAAAACCATAATTCTTTAAAAAATTTTAAATCCCCATATCTATCAGAAAAAGTCGGTTTGGATCCTTGTGGAAAAAAAAGTTCGATTTTGTCGAGTAGTGTAATTACCATAAGCTTCGCGAGTGATTGTTTGCAGAAAATATAATTGCTAAGATCAATCAGAATCCAAAAAGGTCTACAAAACGATTAAGGCAGTATTGGAAATCCATTCGCTCTGAAAGGAAAACGCTGGTAGCAGCTATTTTTAGTGAAATCGATAATAGACTGTACACAGAAATATGCATTGAAGGGAACCAGTATACCGCCCTCTTGGATTCTGGAGCCACTTTAAGTTGTGTTGGAGGCAAGGCAGCACTGAAGTTACTGGCATTAAATAAAAACAAAAAGTGCTCCGGCAACATTCGAACTGATAATTACACTAGTCAACACGATTTTTCCTCAAGGAACAAAACCAACTTTTTATTAAAGATTTGGGGCTTAGAAATGGTTTGATGATAATTTTTTTTTTTATGGCAGAACTTTTTTTTGAAGAATTTTTTAAATCTGGTATTTTTAAGCTTTTTCAGAGGTAGCGATAGTTTTTTTCACATAACTTTAGATTTGTCTGGTTGTAAGAACTTTGCTATTTTGAAGAGATAATTAAAACAGCTAAAGTTAAGCCCAAACACTTTGTGATTACAGCTTACCGTCTGGAAATATAAAGCATTGAAATGCAAAAATGATGATTTTTGTGCGGTATTTTTACGAAATTTTGACTTTAAAAACTCAGAAAAGTCGAAAAAAAATTATACTTGTGTCTTCTATTTTTTTGTGTATAGGTGCATTAATTTGGCGTCGTTTAAGGTATCGCTCATTAAATCTATGGAGAGACTTTGGAGTTAAAATTCGTTAACCAAACCTAAAATATGAAAAAAATGAACAAAAAATACCTTTTGGAAGGTTCGAGCCCAACTGCCCATTGGGAACAAAGGAACGCGATCAGGTACCAAATGTACAACCCTTGTTCGTTTGCTTTGTTCCCAATTGGCAGTTTGGCCCGCGATACCTTAAACGACGCCAAATTAACGCACCTATACACAAAAAAAATAGAGGACACAAGATATAATTTTTTTTCGACTTTTCCTGAGTTTTTAAAATCAAAATTTCGTAACAAATACCGCACAAAAATCATCATTTTTGCATTTCAATGCTTTTTATTTCCCAGACGGTAAGCTGAAATCACAAAGTATTTGGGCTTAACTTCTAGCTGTTTTAATTATCTTTTCAAAATAGCAAAGTTCTTTACAACCAGACGAAAGATACTAAAGTTATGTGAAAAAAACTATCGCTACCTCTGAAAAAAGCTTAAAAAAATACCAGATTTAAAAAATTCTTCAAAAAAAACCACGAACCACGAGGACAAGGTCTCCATCCTTGACGTCGGGTTTCCGCTGGTGCCACTTGCCCCGAATTTGAAGGCCCAGGACATATTCTTTGGACCATCGCCGCCAGAACGCTTGCCTGACTGACGAGGCAAGTTGCCATCGCCGCAAGCAGCTGAGACCCTCCTGGTCCGGAGTCCGCAGTGCTGGGGGGGCGATGAGCGACCCGCCTGTCAGCATGTGCCCGGGCGTGAGTGCCTCGCCGTCGCTGGGGTCCTGGCTGGGGGCTTCCCAGCGGCCTGGAGTTCAGGACGGCCTCGATCCCGACGAGGACTGTGGCGTGCTCTTCGGCGGTCAAGAGCGCGCTGCCTACCGCCCGTAGGAGTAGGCTCTTCCCAGACTTGACACCTGCCTCCCAGAGTCCTCCCATGTGCGGCGCTCGAGGCGGTATGAACGCAAATTCGCATCCTTTTCTTGACGCGAATTCGCGAACTGCGTCCGCCCGGTCCTCGAGCGCCTTCTGCAGAGCGCTGAGGTGGCGGCTCGCTGACGAATTC